TAAAGAGACAGTGTTAGGACAGTCTGATGCAGCCTCAGAGAGACTGTCTCCTGAGACAATCTTTAGTATGAGGAGACTGTCTCAGACTGGAGACCGTCTCAGACTGTCCTCAGACTGTCTCTTTCAGTCTGACAGAGATGCTTCACGGCTTGGAGTTTAACGTTGGTGTTTCTAAACTAAACTCTTTTTGTTGCAGGTACTTTTCAACAAATATCATAGCTGGGAAAAAGTGGACCCTAAAGAACTGCAGGACAAAGGATCTGAAAGACTCCAATGATGTCTGCAGGCTGCAGGGACCCTCAAAGACGTGTTCCCTGAACTTTGACAGCTCCTTAATCCACGTCTTCATAATGAACAGATTATATCTGAATATGATCCGAACAGACTGAACTGTGTTGAAAAGCTTCGTGACAATCTCACTCATCGATGTTCTGCTCTGTTCAGACATTTTGAAGAGGAGCTCTGTGGACACGTTATGAATAAATAACATCTTACCTGTTGCTGTTAGATCAGAGAAATAAAGCGTGATTCTGACCAGATGAACACTTTAGGTCTGATGAGCTAATGGCTAGTCAGAGCACAAAGTGAAGTGCTGTGATTTTAACTCTGATCTTTGAAACGTTAGAACGATTAATGCAAACATTGTTTTAAACATCTTTACACTAATAATGATGCTGTTATTTGCACAAGCAGAGAGCAGCAGCAGCTAGCTGTAGCACTTCCTGCATGAATGTTTTATCAAAATATCCATGCAGAACTTATTGTGTTGCAAAGGTTCATAAAAGTGTTAGAATGAACCTCAGATTTGGACATTTTTACTTCATCAGCTTTGATCTGAGCCACATTTAAAACTGCCATCTTAAAATAACTCTTTAACATTCACAGTTCTTCATGTAAATAGATATTTTATTTATAACCTGCTGGTGAAAGGTGAGCAAAATTCATTGGCCTGTGTCTGTGCTGTTAGTAAAATATCTCATGACCCACTACAAGGGCTTAGTTGAATCTCTCACAAAGTAATCATGGAATGAACATTTACGACAGAAGAACTTCTGAAGTCAATTAAAGATGACTGCTGTAGCAAAGCAACGTCAGCAAACACCGAACTGGTTCCCAGTCTCCCAGGCAGCACATAGTCCTTCCATATAAGGCCTTTAACTGTTATTTATGTCTCATTTTCTTCACTGTGGTAAGAATGGGGCAGCAGCGGCTGAGTGGTTAGAAAAGTTGTCTTCCAATGGGAGAGTTGGGGGTTCAGTTCCACCAGCAGTCACATGGTGAAGTGTCCCTGGGCAAGACACAGAACCCCTCATTGCCTCGGATGTGTGTCCCATCGGTTTATGAATGTGATCTAGCTCTGATTAGTGTCTATAGAATCAGATTATCCTTGTAGAGATGTAGTGGAGTGCTGTATGAATGTGTGTGGAGGTAAAGGAGGGAACACCAGATTGTGTTGTAAAGAGCTTTAAGTATGTTGATGAGAGGGATTGGAGCTATATAAATACAGGTGCTGGTCATAAAATTTGAATATCATGAAAAAGTTGATTTATTTCATTAATTTAATTCAAAAAGTGAAACTTTTATATTCATGCATTACACACAGACTGATATATTTCAAATGTTTATTTATTTTAATGTTGATGATTATAACTGACAACTAATGAAAACCCCAAATCCAGTATCTCAGAAAATTAGAGTTTGTGGAAAAAGTTCAATATTGAAGACACCTGGTGCCACACTAATCAGCTAATTAACTCAAAACATTTACTTTACAAAGGCCTTGAAATGGTCTCAGTCTAGTTGCACGCTCCATATAAGGTCAGAGCAATGCATGTTTGTTTACCCTGCGGAGCGGGTCCCGGTCTGTTTACATTCACACTGTACTCAAACCGCGCTGGAGTTCGCTTCTACCGGACCAAGACCTAGGTTTTAGCCCAGGCCAGAGTTCGCCTTTTTGTTCCATGACAGAGTTCGATGGCGCGTTCACACCTCCCTAAACGAACCGGACTTTCTAGGAAAACGAGCTAGAGTTCGATTAAAGCGGACTAAACAGGGCTAGTGTGAATGCACCCTAATAGAGAGGTGAAGGGAAGGAAACAATGCGGTAGAAAAAGTGTACAAGCAATAGGGATAACTGCTAGGGATGGGGCCGATCCGATCCAGTATCGGCCTCCGATACCAGCATATTTTACGTGTCGGATTTTTCCGATCCATGATGCAAGTTGGCTTCAAACTATGGAATGGATTTCCTGAACGGCGGCGTGTCTCATGAACCCAGAGTAATAAGACCCGCCTCACATTCAGGAAATCCAGTTCATAGTTTGCAGCCAGTTACAACGTGAGGGCTGAGTTAGCAGCACTGTAGCTAACAGCTAACAAACTTTTAATCTAAACATGTCCGCTGTGTGGAAGGATTTTACACTAGAAACACCACAAAACAAGACAGCATCGTGCAATGTCTGCAGAGCCATAGCGCCACATTAAACCACGTTAAAGTTAGTTTTACGATGGACATTTGAGCTCCGTGGCTTCAGCGGGGCGCTGCTCTTTGGTCAAACCGAAAGAGGCAACTCGACCCCGCTCAGTCTGCCCGTCTCTGAGGAGGGACAGACTGAGCGCGGCTGCCCCAAATCAGGCTGCCTGCTTCGGATTGAACAAGAAGACATCGCTGAAACCACGGAGCTCAAATGTTTACAGAGAAGTTGCTAAACTTCATCATAATTAATGACCAACCACTATCAGTTTTAGAAAACGAAGGATTTCACAGCTTGATACTTACAGCCAAGATATAGTTTACCCTCCAGAGATATTTATCAGTACAACAGTAGACAATCATAAAAAACATGATTTGAAAATTATATATATTAAAAACATAAACAGCTACATTATAAAGTGATGTAAAATACTAAAAACAGGAACATGTCTGTTGGTTTATGCCATGAACTTAGCAGGTGTTTGAAGCCATTTAACATTTTATTTAATTAATTTATTCATTCATTTAAAAGAAACAATTTTTTTTTAAATGATCAAAAATAAAAAACATCCGAATGAAAAGAGTGCAGAAAGAAGAAAAAATTCTTATATCTGCCCCTTATAAAATATAAAAACAACTTTAAACAATCACTTAAATTAGTCACTTTAATATCCACTTACTAGGAATAAAAAGAAACGTTTTGTGTTAGAATTTAATTCTAACTTTAAAACTTATCCAACATTAATAAAACTTACCTAAAGTTGCCTTTTTGGACATGCATGCAAATATTTGTACAAATTGTACTTGTGAGGAGATTTTTACATCTTCATATAAAATCAATGATGATCATGATATCGGAACTGGATCAGTATTGGCCGATACTCAGTTCTAGGTATCGGGATCGGATCGGAATTTTAAAAAGTGGATCGGTGCATCCCTAATAACTGCACCCTGGAGAGGACGGTGAAACAAAACCGATTCCAAAATGTGGGGGAGATTCACACAGAGTGGACTGCAGCTGGAGTCAGTGCTTCAAGAACCACCACGCTCAGACGTATGCAAGACATGGGTTTCAGCTGTCACGTTCCTTGTGTCAAGCCACTCTTGAACAAGAGACAGCATCAGAACTGTCTCGCCTGGGACTGCTGCTGAGTGGTCCAAAGTTATGTTCTCTGATGAAAGTAAATTTAGCATTTCCTTTGGAAATCAAGTTCCCAGAGTCTGGAGGAAGAGAGGAGAGGTACAGAATCCATGTTGCTTAAGGTCCAGTGTCAAGTTTCCACAGTCAGTGATGGTTTGGGGTGCCATCATCTGCTGGTGTTGGGCCACTGTGTTTTCTGAGGTCCAAGGTCAACCCAGCTATCTACCAGGAAGTTTTAGAGCACCTCATGCTTCCTGCTACTGACCAACTTTATGGAGATACAGATTTCATTTTCCAACAGAACTTGGCACCTGCACACAGTGCCAAAGTTACCAGTACCTGGTTTAAGGACCATGGTATCCCTGTTCTTAACTGGCCAGCAAACTCACCTGACCTTAACCCCATAAAAAATCTATGAAGTATTGTGAAGAGGAAGATGCGATACACCAGACCCAACAATTCAGAAGAGCTGAAGGCCACTATCAGAGCAACCTGGACTCTCGTAACACCTGAGCAGTGACACAGACTGATCGACTCCATGCCACGCTGCATTGCTGCAATAATCCAGGCAAAAGGAGCAACAACTAAGTATTGATGCTGCACATGCTCATACTTTTCATGTTTATACTTTTCAGTTGGCCAACATTTCTAAAAAATATTTTTTTAAATTGGTTTTAAGTAATATTCTAATTTTCTGATATACTGAATTTGGGTTTTTTTTTTATTAGTTGTCAGTTATAATCATCAACATTAACAGAAATAAACATTTGAAATATCAGTATGTGTGTAATGAATAAATATAATTTACAAGTTTCACTTTTTTAATGAAATTACTTAAATAAATCAACTTTTTCATTATATTCTAATTTTATGACCAGCACCTGTACAATCTATTTACCATACTAGTTTTTAGCTCATCAGTCCTTATGCTTCGACTGTTCAGAGAGCCATCTACAGCAGGTGAGACGTTAGCTGTTCATAAGTTTTACAAACAACATCACCTCAAAATGTCTGAAATAGTCCTTTAATTATAAATAATCTGTCTGTTTGAATTTATTTTTCTCTGAAGCGTTTTAAGTCATAAAAATATTGAAAAAAATCATTGCAGTACAGTACAGTGGAGAGATCCCATGTTCCTTTCGCCCACACGAAGATAAACTACACTTCCCAGAATTCCTCAGTGCGCTTTAGCAGGAATCCTCATGGCCGCTGCAGGATCCCGATGGATGCAGAGAGGGTGAAAACAATGTCGTCTCGCTCGGACTCGAACCTCCGACTGTCTGTCTTTCATATGTGAGTGAAGACATCTTTATTAACATCAACAAGGAGGGCTCAGTTCTCACCGTCTGTAGTCCTCAACTGTTTGTTCTCAGCTGTTTGTCCTCAGATGTTCTTCCTCAGCTGTTTGTTCTGACATGTCCTTAGCTGTTTGTCCTCAGCTGTTTGTCCTGACATGTCCTCGTCGTGTAAACATGAACGTGGAGCCAGCCGCTCAGGTAAAGCCTCTTTGCGCAGCGGCTGGTTAAACACCTTATCAAACGAGGTAAAACACCGGCTTCTTCAAGAAGCAGGTGAGCGTCATGACGTCACGCCGTGCGTCCCCGA